TTTTTTTTTTTTTTTAGAAGAATAACATTTTAATATAACAGATAATGAGACTGAAGTTAAATGATTGGTAAAGAATGCATAGCTAGAAGAAAAGAACATGTGTTTCAAAGCTCCTCAACTCATAAAGTCAGCCCAAAAGTTTTTCCTTGCCATACGGGGCCTCTCTTGTTAAACTCAAAGTTCTTTCTGGCAAAGATAATGGTATGTCCATCTGTGACAACATTCAAAAGTGAACCTGGTTTCTGGAAATCCAGAATGCAAAAGATTTAATGAGTATGACACATTGGATCTTCATCAGTTCGTTCTCAATAAAGATAAATCCACAGCACCTACCACAAAAGTAAACTTATAACTGCTTAAAAGAAAGAATGTTTAGCTAATCGGCAGTAGAGTCAATTCTTGAGCTTTAGTTCATATTGTAAGTTTACATAAGAGAACAGTAAGAGTGACTTTTGTCCTGGATATCAGTGATTCTCAACCAGGAGTGATTTTACCCTCCAGAATACAGTTGACAATGTGTGGAGACATTTTTGCTTGTCCTAACTGGTGGTAATGCTATTAGCATCTAGTGGATAGAGGCCAGGGAAGCTGTTCAACATCCTAGAATGTCCCTCACAACAAAGGATTATTTGGGCCAAAATGTCAGGAATGCAGAGGTTGGGAAATCTAGCTTTACACTGATTATTAATGACACAGGATAAACATTGTGAAATTTTACTTGGTAGGTTTTTATTGATTATTGTTAAGTGCCGTCGAGTTTGTTCCGACCCACAGCGACCCTTTATAAGGTTTCTGAGGAGTGGCTGGAGAGTTTGAACCACTGACCTTGCAGTTCAAACCAACCTTGCAGTCTAGTACATTTACCTACAGTGCCACACCAGGACTCCTTTTTATTGATAAGCAACAGATTTATTCCAATATTTATGTTCTGTATACCTTCAACTTCTCTTAGATTCAGACTATAAAATTTTTAAACCTGAATCTAGAGAAGTTGAAGATGTGAAAAAATTGAAGATGGGAGTAAATCTACTGTTTATCAGAAAAATCATTCAAAGGGAGATTTATGTTCAAAGACCTTAATTACTAAGTTAATTGATTCTTTTTCTTAACAGATTGTTTCCCAGGGGGTGTGCATTGGGTTTCAGTTGGGAAACAAGATAAATCTGGGCTTCTGATGAAACTGCAGAATCTTTGCACACGGTTGAGTCAAGATGACAGTTTCTCCCAGAGACTTCCCCTTAATATTGAAGAGGCTAAAGATCGTCTGCGCATTCTGATGCTGCGCAAACACCCAAGGTACGGAGGAGCAAATTTAATGTGTGTATGAAGTAACAGTGAGGCTCAAATACTGACCTCTTGAGACTATTATGCCCCTTTCCTACTGTTCTTTAGAGGAGTTAAAAGGATTACTTTCTTGCTATCTTCTCTTATATATTAAAAAATAGTGACTGCTATTTGGCCTAAGATTGTGACCTTTCTCTCCTTTGCCTCTTACCTATACAGTGTCTCATATGTACTACTGTAAGCTCTAAGGAAGTATTTCTTGAGTAGATGAGTGGTCTTTGCTAAAATGTGTAAGCTTCTTACCTTGATCTCTTACATTTCTAATGGATTAACATAGAGCAAGAAAAAAATAAGTAAAGGTAACAGGCACAAAACTGAGGCAGAAGGAATTTTTCTATCAACCCTCATCTTTTGTCTTAATGTTTTAGAAATGTAAATGCAACTCAAGTGCTTCAGATGTTTATTTGTTCTTTCAGAAGTTAATTCATTGCCATTATAATTATGTGCCAGGCAGTGTTATCAACTATTTGGCAGTTTTCATTAGCCGAGAGGGAGACAGTAGCTTAGTTGCTGCATGTGTTATGAGTATAACCTCAGACTGGATTTTAGTAGTTTAATTTTAGCAATCCGGCACTTACTCTTTCGTTTGTTCATTTAATCGACATTGAATGACTGACTGGTGAGTTGTACCGACGGGTGAGTCTGAACTGCCGACCTTGCCGTCCAGTGCTGTATCTATCCCATAGTACCACACCAGGATTCCTTCATATCATCCTACTTCCCTTAATGTGGAAAATAAGAGTGACTATCAGGAAAATAGTGCAACTACTTTGAAATCATGGTGTATAAAGCCAGTCCCTTTGTTTCCTTCTCAGCATCATTGTAGTTGGTGTTTTTCATTGCATTTATAGTGTACAGAAGTAGTGTTCTATGCTAGACGGTTGGATTTTAGTTGTATTTTTTTCTCCATCTGTTTTGATGAGTTTAAAAACATTCTTAGACCAATCAGAAATTGACCCAGAGGTACTTTGTCATTATGAATAAACAGATTCTTAGATGCAAAAACCAAACCAAACCAAACCAACAAACAAAAAAAAACAACCTATGGCACTGTAGATAATGCGCTGGACTGCAAAGTTGTTTTGAAAAGGTCACCAGCCTCTGCTTGAAAACCCTATACAGGACCACTATGAGTCAGAACTGACTCAATGACACTGAACAACAGCAACAAAGTATACTAAGGAGTGTGGCACTGTAGAACTAAGCACTGGACTGCTAACTGCAAGATTCAAACCTATCAGGCACTCCTTGGAAACTGTACAGGGTTGCTATGAGTCAGAACTAACTTGAAGGCACTTAACAATAACAAAGTATACTTGAAAGGAGCCCTGGTGGTGCTCTGGGATAAAGCACTGAATTGCTACCCACAAGGTCGGCAATTCAAACCCAACCAGCTGACTCTTCACGGGTAAAGATTAACAGCCTTGGAAACCCTATACAGGGTTACTATGGTGGGAATTGACTCAGTGGTAGTGAGTGAGTATACTAGTATATTCTAAGTGTATTTATATACATAGTACCCGCCAGAGAAGATGAGACTTCCTGCTCCCGCAAAAATTTAAAAGCCTCAGAAATCCTATACAGGGTGTCTGAGTTGGAACCGACTTGAAGGTACTTAAAAACAACAAGATACATATAAAATTGCCAGTTTTCTAGATCAAAAGTGGCCAGATATTAGCAATGGTATATGAGTCATCCCAGTACAAACCAGGGTCCTGGTTCAGTTTGGCTTTCATGCTTAAAGACTGAATTAAGAAATCTCATTACGTGGGTAGTTCTTTATAGGCCTTAGGTTGAATGGTTGAATCAGTAAATCACTAATATTTATGTTGTATGTACAGTCCTTTTTTTGTAGCCTCATTAACTTTAATATGTTATGATTTGGCTTATTTGAGTCTATTTTTTCTTTATTTAAAGCAGCGTATTGGGAAAGAGTATAGAAAAAGAAATAGGAAGAACTATAGACTAAACTTCTGTTGGCTTTTTTCCTTAGTTTTTTTATTTTCTAAAAGCAAAAATAAGTGTTGTTAGTGACTCATTGCAGTGATTTTTTTTTTTTTTTTTTTTCCCCTCTATAATTAGGTCTCTCTTGATCTTAGATGATGTTTGGGATCCTTGGGTTTTAAAAGCTTTTGACAATCAGTGTCAAATTCTTCTTACAACCAGAGACAAGAGTGTTACAGATTCAGTAATGGGTAAGGATTATCCATTTGCCTTTCAGTACCTTTACATTTTAATTCCGTTATATTTAAATGTGTTGTTATTATTGGATGCTGTCTAGTCAACTCTGACTCATAATGATCCTATAGGGCAGATTAGAACTCTGTCCCATTGGGTTTCCTATGCTGTAATCTGTATGGAAACAGATCTTGAGGTCTGTATGGGATATCAGATTTTACTCACTGTGTGTTGATTTTTGTTGCAGGCTCTAAATATGTAGTTCCTGTGGAGAGTGGTTTAGGAAAAGAAAAAGGACTTGAAATTTTATCCCTGTTTGTTAATATGAAGAAAGCAGATTTGCCAGAAGAAGCTCATAGTATTATAAGAGAATGTAAAGGTATGATGGTGGTGGTTATGTGCCGTGGAGTTGGTGCCGACTCATAGTGACCCTATACAGGGTTTCCGAGGCTGTAAATCCTTATGGGAGCAGAAAGCCTCATCTTTCTCCTGCAGACCAGCTGGTAGTTTTGCACTGATGACCTTGCAGTTTGCAGCCTGATCCATGGAGGTTATGGGGATATTTATTCTATATTGTAAATTAACAATGAACATATTTATATACTTGCAAGCATTTAAAAATGTTTTTAGAATAATTAGTGTTTTAGGTTCATAAAACTTTAAATGTTATATGAATTGTGGTATTCATTCAGAAAATATTTAATGGGCACATACAGTATGTTAGGAAGCTTGCTGGCAAGAGGGGTAAGATGAAGACATGACATCTACTGTCAAAGAGTAAAAAAATATAGTGAAGGCCAGAAATTTAGTTCTTTTGAATTGGGATTTTATAAAAATACTTCTAAATTTGATCAGTAAAAACTGGTGTTGACTAAATTTTCGTTTTCTGTTAACAAAGCTAATTTTTTTACTTGTTTGTTTGAATATTTTCATATTAAGAAGTGATCCTTGACTCTCTCTTCTTCTGGAACTTAACTATTTTAAGTTCATTTTTTAGACTGTGTTGAACTATGAAAGATATTAGTCTTCATGCATATTTTTTCAAATGTCTTTTTATTTAATTTGTTGTATCTTTTGGCATGCAAGAATAAAACATTTATTAACTCTTTAACTATTTAAATTTGACAATTTAATAACAACTTTATTAACACTTAAGATTATTTCTTCCATTATTATTATGCTTAGGTTTTTTAATTTTTGTTTTCTTTCATCAAAGAGGAGATACTTGATTTTGAATTAGTAGACTTAAAAAAAATCTTAATTTTAGAAAAATACTTGATTCATTACAATGGTGATGCGTAAGTGTTTTGAAATATTAGAACAATGTTTGAAATGCTTAAGAAAAAATAGTTATTATTCATAATCTGATAATTATTAGCATCATGAGAATATTTCTACTTTTTTATAGGCATATACAATTATTTTAGAATTTGGGGATTAGAATATTATAAACATAGTTTTGACTTTTTCCCTTTTCATATATCATGAGCATTTCCCTATCTTGTAAACAGAAAATTAGCAGTGACTTAATTTCTTCAGTCATTTCCTTACTGTTGTTGTTAAGTATCATTGAGTTGATTCTGACCCATAGTGACCCTGTCTAGGGTTTCCAAGGAGCAGCTGGTGAGCTTGAACCACTGACTTTGCAGATCAAATGACTTTGCAGACTGACTGATGCATTAGCCCACAGTGCCAAACCAGGACTCCATTTTCTTACTAGACATTATTTATTATTCAGTATTTTTCAGTTTTAAAAATAATGCTGTCCCTCTGTATACAGGGTAGATGGTGGTGGTGGTTATGTGCCATGGAGTTGGAACCGACCCATAACAACCCTGTACAGGGTTTCCGAGGCTATAAATCTTTACAGGAGCAGAAAGCCTCATCTTTCTCCCGCGGAACAACTGGTAGTTTCGAACTACTGACCTTAAGGTTCACAGCCCGATTTGTAACCACTACGCAACCAGAGCTCCTTATACAGGGTAGATAGGGATGGGCAATTTAGACATTGGCTGCCTAAAATGAGGGGATGGTAAAGGCTCGAAATGACTGGCTTACAAGATTTCAAGATTTTAAGAGTGTATGGGGGAAGATAGCGTCCCCATTGACTAGTTTTTATCTTGTCTAGATGGGTCTGATAAAAAGAGATGGGGCTAAGATTCTTATGATTCAATAGTGTTTATTTGTTATCATGACTAAATTCGTCTGTCACAATTTAAAGGTAGAACTTTTGTAACAAAAATGGAGAAGTAGTTAATCTTACAGACCAGAAACAGAGGACCTTAGGACAATCAAGGGAGAAGAGCACAAGCGGAATGTGGGATCTTATCCAGAGAAGCAGTGACACCAGAGATGGAGGCAGAGATGGGGATGTGGAGAAGGGGAGTGGCTGAGGACTCCAGATTCATGGAAAGAAGGATTGAGAGCTGGAGGCCAGGAGGCAGACTTGCAGAATGTGACCTTTGGTGGTGTAAATTATTATATATGTCTGAGTGTTTGAAAAAAACAAACAACAAGAGCTAAAATGAATATCAGTAAAAATACTGATAACTGATGGTACATGGAGGGGATTATAACCATTGTAATGAAACGAAGTGTATGATTTGTTGAATGTAAAACTGATGATCCTCCCTGTAAACTTTCACTTAATTCACAATAAAAATTAAAAAAAAAATTTTTTTTTAAATGCTGTGATAAATAACCTTAAATGAATTAAAAAAAATTTCTAATGATTTGCTTAGAGTAAGTATGCCTAGAAGTTATAAATATGCCTGTAAGAGTTATAAATATTTTAAGGCTCTTATGTGTATAGCACATATAGCAGAAATTATTTCCTAAGAAGCAGAAATTGCTTCCTAAGAATAAGCTGATTTTTAAATTATTGTAAGTTTGAATAAAGGTAGTTATAGTACAGTGACTACTCTTTTTCTCAGGTTCTCCTCTTGTAGTGTCTTTAATTGGTGCCCTTTTACGTGAATTTCCCAATCGTTGGCAGTACTACCTCAGACAACTTCAGAATAAGCAATTTAAGAGAATCAGGAAATCATCATCTTATGATTATGAGGCTTTGGATGAAGCCATGTCTATAAGTGTTGAAATGCTTAGAGAAGACATGAAGAATTATTACAAAGATCTTTCCATTCTTCAGAAGGATGTTAAAGTGCCTACAAAGGTAATAGCAAGACCAACAATCTTTAGAGCATCCTCATGATTGGGCATTTATGGCATGGGGCCTGTGATATAATATTGAGACTATTGTTAAGAAATATTTGAAGGTAGTATCCATGTGAATGAAGTGGTGGGATGGAGGGTGAAGAGGTTGCACTACACTTAGTCTCTTCAACAGTTCTGTGTTGAGTCCATGAGCCATCTGTTTCCTGTTTCTTGGAGTGGCACTTGTGAAGTGGGATAAATATTCAGTTTCTCTCTCTTTACTTGTCTCTCCTTCTCCTTTCTATCTTAAGGAATATTTGGGCTTCATTCTATGTAATGGAGACATTCAGAGCTTTAAGATATACTTTTTTTATATTAAGACCTTGTCTGCAATCCTGGTCCTTTTACTTCTGTGGCACATTAAATGTTTTAAATGGTTCCTAGGTATTATGTATTCTCTGGGACATGGAAACTGAAGAAGTTGAAGACATACTGCAGGAATTTGTGAATAAGTCTCTCTTATTCTGTGATCGGAATGGAAAATCATTCCGTTATTATTTACATGATCTTCAAGTAGATTTCCTTACAGAGAAGTATCGCGGTCAACTTCAGGTACCTACACATTTTCACATTCTCCCCGCCCCACTTTATGTTTTTTTGTTTTGAAATAATTTTAGACTTACAGAAATTGAAAAAATATTAGAGCATATCTATGAATATACTCTTCACCTAGCTTTTCTCCTAATGTTTACTTAAATAACCATAATACAATTACCAAAAGCAGAAAATGAACAGTCATGTAATGGAGTTGACAAATTCACAGACTTTGAATCCATCGGGTTATCAATTTATCTCCTTTTTCTGGTCCAGATCCAGTTCAGGATCCCATCTGCATGTAATTCTCATACTTTCTTAGTTGCCTTTTTCCTTGTTGTTGGTAGGTTCCCTTGAGTTGATTACGGCTCATAGTACCCTGTTAGGTTTCTAAGGCTGTAAATCCTTATGGGAACAGAAAAGACTCCTGTTCCTTCTGAGGAGTGGCTGGTGGGTTTGAACTGCTGGTCTTGTGGTTCGCAGTCCAGTACTTATACAGCACCACCACCACTTCTGTCATATTTCTTAGTCTCCTTTCATCTATGAAAAGTTTTTATTTGTCTTTCATGGCCTGATGGCTTTTCAAGAGTACTGTCCATTTGTTTTATAGAATGACTTCTCATTTTTGTTTAGCTGATTTTTCCCCATGATTAGGTTGAGGTTCTGCATTTTTGGTAAGAATACTTTAGAGGTGAAATAGTATTTTTACTGCAAGTTACAGAGACAGGCTGACTTCAATTTAGCTGCTCTTATTCACCAAACTTTGCTTTTTTTTAGGTACCACAGAAATCACTTAAAGGCAAAGGATTCCCTCCTTTTCCTGTCCTTTAACAAATGTGGAGCCCTTTCACATTATTCATTTTTTTTTTTTTTTTGGTTGTTAACTTTGATCACTTAGATAAAGTAGTATTTGCCTAGTTTTCCACTGTAAAGTTACTATTTTCTTTCTTCAGAATGAAGTATCTTGTGAGGAGATTCTCTGTACATTCTTAATAACTTTAGAAACTAAATTTAGGTTATGAAATTGTTTCTGCCCTTTGAAATGTTTAATTTGGGTTTCAGGATCTGCATAAGAAGATGATTACTCAGTTCCAAAGGCATCACCAGCCACATACTCTTTCTCCAGACCAGGAGGACTGCATGTACTGGTACAACTTTCTGGCCTATCACATGGCCAGTGCCAATATGCACAAAGTAAGACAATCCATTTAAAAATGATTTTCTTTTATCTCATTTCCTTTTTTTAAAGTTTTTATTGTGAATTATGTGATAGTTTACATGGGAGAACACCAGCTTTCCATTCATCCTATCATATTTTGTTTTATTGCAATGATTACAATCCCCTCCATGCATCATCAAACAACCAAAGGGTACACCCTGCACACTTGTCCTCCGGCTGTCAGCGCACAGTCCCTCTCCCTCCCTGAGTCCAGAGTCCCCAGCCACTCCATCTGTCCATGTCATTGTCTCTGCCTCCATTTCTGGCGTCATTGCTTCTCTGGGTAGGGACCTGCACTCTGCGCTTCTCACTTGATGGTCCCAGGGACCTCCACTTCTGGACTGAAAAATCAACCACTCCCCTCCTTTTGTTATATAACATCTACCTGTACATTTCCAACCCTAACAGTAAGTCCTGATAGCAGTTATTCACTATTGTACCATAAGAGTCTTATCCCCATCTCCTTTCATCAGCTCCGTCCCAACAGATTGGAAACCACTCTGGAGATTCTACCTTCATCTGTCCCCTCTGGAACTAGGCTCCATCTTGAAAGCTTGTAAGCCAGTCACTTCTTGCCTTTGTAGGCCCCCATCCCACCCCCATTTTGTGTGGCCAATATCTAAGTTGCCCATCCCTGTCAATCCTGTTTACCAAGGGGGTGGAAATATGATCCTTGCTGTAAAGATTTGTTCCCTCCCTCTTTTGAGCTATTACTTCCATAAGTATAGGTCAAGTTCATCAAATTGTAGCGATTACTCTTTTTTTCCCTCTTCTTTCTTTTCTGGTCGAGTTCTGATCATCCAGCCATTGAAGCCTGGTCAAGTGGGTACTGTCTGCAAGTATGGGTGTTCTTGTGCATCTCCCCTTTATATCAGCTGGACGCTTCACTCTCCGCTCTAGTCCTCTGTGGTGGCTGTGTCACTGCCTTTGGTATTAACTGGGATTCCCTGTAAGCATATGGATATTAGCCTATCACAGCGTTGTACCTCATGAATGATCTGGATATGTTCTTTTTGACAATGAATGTAACACTATTCCTCTTCAATTTGTCATTTCCGCCATAGTAAACCGTGTGGTTGTCAGATTCAAAAAGGCCAATACCAGTGCATTTCAGCTCACTTATGCCTAAGATATTGATATTATGTGTTCCATTTCATTTTTGACAACTTCCAATTTTCCCAGATTCATAGTTTGTACATTCCGTGTTCTAATTTTCTCTTCGTTTTGAATTGTGCCCATCAGCAAATGAAAGTCCCGCAGACATTTTTCCCACGGGCTTTACTCCATTCGCGTCATCATGGTGAGCTCTACTTTGAGGAAGCAGCTCTTCCCCGGTTGCATTTTGAGTGCCTTCCAACCTGAGGGGCTCATTTTACAGCAGTATATCTGACAGTGTTTCTCTGCTATGCATAAGGTTTTCAGTGACTAATTATTCGGAAGTAGTTTGTCACTCCTTCTTCCTAGTCTGTCTTTGTCTGGAAGCTCATCTGAAACCTGTCTACCATGGGTGGTATAGCTTTCAGAATCACAGAAACTCACAAGCCACCACAGTACGACAAACTGACAGACGAGTGGTGGATATATATCCTACATGTTGTTAAGTGCTGTTGAGTTGGTTCTGACCCATAGTGACCTTGTGTAGGTTTTTTGATGAGCAGCTCATGAGCTTGAACCACTGACCTTGCAGTTCATATGGCTTTGCAGTCTGGCACATTAACCCACAGTGCCACACCAGGACTCCCACATAACTACATATATATTCCATTTTCTCTTACCCATTTGAGGCTTTGATTTTTCCTTTAGCTCTTTCAGCTTTAGAAATGTTGAATGTGTTCTTCTTTTTTGGTTTTCAAACTCTGTCGTTGCCCATTTCTCATATCATTATGATACTTTGTCTTTTAGAGCTTCCCTTTGAAATTTTGTGTTCCGCTCTTAGTATTTCAGCATTTCTTCCAGTTGCTTTTGCTTTTTTATGTTCAAGAGCAAGTTTCAGAGTCTCTTCTGACATCCACTTGGCCTTTTCCTTTTTCCTGGTTTCTTAATGACCCTTTGCATTCTTCATGTATGAAGACCTGGTCTCATCCCTCAGATTGTCTGGTCTTTCGTCATTGGTGTTCATTGAGTCAAACTTGTTATTAATATGGTCTCTCAATTTAAATATACTCAGAGTCATATTTTGGCCTTTATGGACTTCTTTATTTTCTTCAACTTCAGCTTGAACTTGCGTTAGAGAAACTGGTGTTCTGATCCTCAGTTTACTCTGGGTCTTGTTCTGAAGGATGATGTTGTGATCCTCCATTGTCTCTTTCCACAGATTAGTCAGTTTGATTCATGTGTGTTCCAGTGGGTGAGGGTCACATGTATGGTCTCCCTTTTTGTTATTGAAAAAGGTTATTTGCAATGAATACATTATTGGTCTTACCAAATTCTGTCGTGTGATCTCCAGCATTTCTATCACTAAGGCTATATGTTCCAATTACCAATTTTTCTGTTTCCAACTTTTTGCATCCCAATCATTAGTAATTAAGAATGCATCTTGATTGCATATTTGATCAATTTCAGACTGAAGAAGTCGATAGAAATCTTCGGTTTCTTCATCTTTAGCTTTTGTGGTTGTTGTGCACATTTGGATAATAGTACTAACCTGGTCTTCCTTGTATACGTATGGATAGTATCCTATCACAGTGTTGTACTTGAAATGATCTTTTTGATAGTTAATGCAGTACCATTCCTCTTCAATTTGTTATTCCCAGCATCATAGACCAAATGATTGTCTGATTCAAAGTGACCTGTACCAGTCCATTTCAGCTCACAGTTTTGTCTAGCATATTCATTTTTTATGTGTTTCTTTTCAGTTTTGACAATGTCCAGTTTTCCTAGCTTCATATTTCATATATTTATCTTGTTATTATGAAAACTATATTTGCAGCTGTTTCTTATTTTCATTCATGCCATATCAACAAATGAAGATCCTGAAAGCTTTACTCTATACGTGTCATCATGTTCAAGTCTACTTTGAGGTAGCAGGTTTTCTCTAGTTGTGTTTTGCGTGCCTTCCAACCTCAGGGGGTCATTTTCCAGCACCAAGTCAGACAATGTTTTGCTGCTATTCATAAGCCAGTTCTTTCAGAATTCAGCCACCATGCCCTCCTTTGTAATCTGTCTTCATACAGAAGCTCTGCTGAAACCTGTCCACCTTGGGTGACCTTGCTGGTATTTGAAATATCAGCAGCAAAGCTTTCTGCATCACAACAACATGAGACCAGTATAATACTGACTGAAGAATGGGAGTGGTGGAACTGGTGCCTTATTAATTGCAAAAAAGATCCTTGGGTAGTGTAAACAGTTTGCTTTTGAGTACTAAAGTGAAGGTTGACAGTTTGAACTCAACCACCATTGGTGTTACAGACAAAAGGCCTGATGGTCTGCTTCTGTAAATATTCAACAAGAGACCCTGTGGAGCACTTCTGCCCCAAGGCAGAATACACTTGATGGCAACATGTTTGTTTTTTGATTGCTTTCTTAATTGCAGTAAATGAATTTTTATAAAGCTACTCTCTTACTAGCTTCCTCCCAGAGCTCCTTTCCTTTATGGGTTGTTGTTGTTAAGTGACATCTAGTTGGTTCCGACTTACAGCATCCCTGGGTCGAGCCCTGGTGTGGTGCTGTAGGGTAAAGTACTGGACTTCTAACCACAAGTTTGCCAGTTCAAACCCACCATAACCGCTCCTCAGAAACCCTATACAGGGTCACAATGCGTCAGAATCAACTTGACAGTACACAACATCTTAGGGTTTCTAAGGCTATTAATTGTTATGGGATCAGAAAGCCTCATTATTTTCCCATGGAGCAGCTAACCCCCAACCCTGTGGATAGCAATCTGGTGCTTATCTTACAGAACCACAGCGCTCCCTAGAGCTCCTTAAAAATGGTTGCTGTTATTGTTAAATGCCATAGCGTCTGTTCCAATTCATAGTGACCCTGAATAGGGTTTTCTTGGAGTGTCTGGTGGATTTATTTTTGTGCTTTGAGAAGTAAAGAATGGAAAAGTACATACAGTTGCCCTTTGAACAATGTGGAGGCTAGGGTCACAGGCATCCTGTGCAGTTGAAAATATGTGTATAATTTATGGTTAACCCTTAAACAACACAGATTTGAACTGCACGGCCTATTTATAGGTGGATTTTTTTTCCTGTTGCCATTGTGATGAACTCAAGTGTTGTATCATCTTGAATTGCTTATTCAGAGATGATTAGAATCACATGGTGTTTTAAATGGACACTCATAAAACTAGAGCTCACTGCAGTAGCCACAGGGGGGAAAAATTCAGGTCAAACTCATTGTTCAAGGGTCAACTGTACACTCATTCAGCAAACACTTATTGAGTGGAGTCTCCTGTTCTTCATTATGAGGATGGTAGTATAGACACAAAAATCCCTTCTTGGAGCTAACATTTAGAAGGGAGAGAAACAATAAACCATATTATGTGTTGGGGTAGGACATTCTCAGAAGCAAAAACTAGGGTCAGGAGAAAGGAACAAAGAGATAGGGTAGAATTATCATGGTTTATGATAGATTTGATGTTTATAAGGAGAGGAAGTTAAGGATGAATTCAAGCTTACACACTGGGAAGAATGGGGTTTCCATGAATTGAGATAGGGCAGTTTATGAGAGGAACACTTTTATTTTTTAACTTTTTTTGTGAATTGATTGAAGGTTTACAGAGTAGATCATCAGCTTTACATCCAACAGATCACAGACTTTGTTTCGTCTCAGTGGTTGCAGTCCCTTCCATATAATGACAGTTTTCTCAATTTCTCCCTTTTTCCAATTTCTAGTCTATTCCTACTTCCCAACATCTCTGTACATTGTCCCCTTTTGATCTTGAATGGTTGACTATCCATGATGAGCATACCTCACTAGTGTTGTCCCTGATATACCTATCCACTGCTGGCTTGAAATATGGGTCATCAGGGTGAGTGAGTTCTGTTCCAGACCTGAAGGGTGGCTGAGGGCCGTAATCTTGGAGGGGAAACACTCTTTGTTGTTTGTTTAGAAGGAGGTTGTTAGGAGTTTACTTTGGATATAATAAGTTTGATATACCTATTAATAGTGGAAATGCTGAGTAGGAACATATGAATCTAGAGTTTCATAGGAAAATTTTGGAATAAAGATTAAAATTGGGACTCAACAGCACCTGAGATATTTATTTGACCTTTTCTGTCAACTACTCAAAATGTTAGCATTTTGAAAAATCTTGTGTAGTTTAGTAGGTTTTCTGCAGTTTTGTTTAGAAAAATGATGTACTGATTTGTAGCCTGCTTTTTAAAAAAAATTTATATTTAGTAATCCATATCGCATTGATGCTAGTCCAGTAAATGTGCTCTAATTTACTTAGGCAAATTATAGTTACTGAATATTGAAATTTTGTTCAGTTTTTTCCTTTTATGATATTGCAATGAACATTATTTTCTTCTCACTAGTATTATTTCTTGGGAATATAACTAAAAGTAGAATTACTGTGTTTTTAAAACTTTTGATATTATCAGCGAATGTGGCAGGATTCAGTTCTTATTTTTTAGCCTTTTTTCAGATTTTAAAGGCAATGGCTTCTGTTCATTGGAGAAATTTAGTAAAACAATACAAAGAAGGACATGAAGATTACAATCATTGCTGTTGATTTTCTGTATAGTTTTCTAGAAAATGTTGCTGCTCAGATAAAGTACTTGTTCTTTAAAGCACAATTGGGAATCTTTATAGAAATGTTGTTGAAAAGTGCTATTGAGTCAGTTCCTACTCCTAGCAACTCTATAGGTTTTCTAAGGAGTGGCTGGTGGGTTTGAATTGCTGACCTTGCAGTTAGCAGTCTAGTACTTATCCTACAATGCCACACCAGGACTCCCTTTATAGAAATAGAGTTGTATTTTTTTGTTTTATTTTGGGGAAAATAATACAACAAAACATAGACCTGTTCTACAGTTTTCACATGTGCCATTCATTGACAGTGGCCACATAGTTGACATGTGTTGACATTCTCACTATCTGTCCCTGTTGGTTCACCAACGTTAACTAATACTCTGCCCATAAAGATCTCATCTGTGCTTTAGAGCTACTGCTGTCATTTCCCTCTCATATGGGTCATTCGTCATCAGGTTTAATGCTCAAGACAGACATTCTTTATGTGAGATGAATTATTGTTTTGTTTGAAGATGACATCATGGGATAGTTTTTGGTTTAAGGTTTAAAAGTTGTCTCCAGGCATTGGATTTAGTGATTCCTTCATCTGATTGTACCTAGTAAATCTGGTTTATGATGATAATTTGAAGTTTTATAGAAATAGAGTTTTATAACTTACTTTTTAAAATTTAATTGAATTCTAGGGCCACTTTTTTTTTAAAATAATGTTTTATTGTGAATTATGTGATAGTTTACATGGGAGAACATTAGCTCTACATTCACCCTATCATATATCACTTCATTGCCATGGTTACAATCCCTACCATGCATCACCAAACAACCGAAGGGTATACCCTGCAAGTCTGCGCCCCCCGTTGTCAGCACACAGCCCCTCTCCCTCTCTGGGTCTAGAGTCCCCTGCCGCTCCATCTCTCCACGTCATCATCTCTGCCTCCACCTCTTTTGTCACTGTTTCTTTGGATAGGGTACCACACTCCGCTCTTCTCACTTGATGGTCCCAGGGACCTTTGCTCCTGGACTGCAAAGTCAACCACTCCTCTCCTTTTGTTACAAAACATCTACCTTTACATTTCCAACCCTCACAATCAGTCCTGATAGCAATTATTCGCTGTTGTACCACAAGAGACCTATCTGCATCTCCTTTCATCAGCCCTGACCAGACAGATTGGATAATATTCAGTGGAGATTTTACCTTCCTCCACACGCTCTGGATCTAGGTTCCCTCTTGAAAGCTTGTAAGCCAGTCACTTGGGTAGCCAGTGTCCAAGTTGCCCATCCTTGTCTACTCTTGTGTACGGAGGGGGTGGAAATGATCCTCGCTGTAAAGATTTGTTCCCTCTTTTTAGCTACTGCATCCATAGATATAGGTCAGGTTCATCAAATTGTATCAGATTACTCTTTTTTTACTCTTTTTTCTTGTTCTAGTTGAGTTCTGATCATCCAGCCATTGATGCCAGGTCAAGTGGGTATTATCTGCAAGTGTGGGTATTCTTGTGCATATTCCCTTGCTTCTTATTAGCTGGATGCTTCACTTTCCACTCTAGTCCTCTGTGCTATGTCACTGACTCTGGGCCCAGGAGTCCCTGGGTCTTGCCACACTGCTTGCCAACCAAGTCTCCACCCTGGTTCACAGGAGTCTATTGAACGTGGTAGGACTTAGCTCACAGCTTCATTGCTGTTTTTCCCTCACTTTCCCTTATCGGTGACCAACTCGGTCACCAGCAAAACCACATGACTGCTTGTGTATTCCCCTTGAATCTTAGTCTTGGAAGGGGGTGTGCCCTGAAGGGACTCAACCTCTTGCCTTGATGTCCCCTGGGCAAGCAGTTTGCTTATTCTTGTAGTAGTCAGTTGGACTATAGGGCCACATTTTAATGTTAATTTATATAAATTGACATAAATTTGAAAGCAGCATATTATTTCACTGTATTGTTGTTAAGTGCCATCAGGTTTGTTTTGACTCATGGCAACCCTTTATACAACAAAATGGAACACTGCCTGGTCCTGCACCATCTCACATTTGTTACTGTGTTTGAGCTTATAGTTTGAGGATCTTGCTCTTTTTTACTGACCCTCTACTTTACCAAGACTTCCTGATTGATGTCTGTCATGAATTCAATTGTGTCCCCCCAAATATATGTCAGTTTGACAGGGCCATGATTCTCAGTGATTTGACATTATATAATAATTAATGCGGTAGTTATGTGATGACTTTCCATGATGTGATAAGTGAGTAAGAGGATTAAGGATGTAGGCTATAGCACCTTTAATAGTGTCACAGGCCTGATTGAGGTAAAGGGAGGGTCCCTGGGATGTGGCCTGCACACGTTTTTATCTTAAAAGAGATTAAAGGAGAGAGAAGTGAGCAGAGGGACCTCCTAAGAGCAGAGCACTTGCTTTGGACACAGTGCCCTGCTCTGGGAAACTCCTAGAACCAGGGGAAGATTGATGCCAACAAGACACAGGAGATCTGCAAGGGGCACTGGACCTGTAGATGTTGAAAACAGACAAGGACCTTTCCCAGAGCTGACACAGAGAGTAAACCTTTCCCTAGAGGTGATACTCTGATTTTGGAATTTTAACCACTTAAACAGTGAGAAAATAAATGTGTTTGTTAAAGATATTCACTTGTGGTATTTCTGTTGTAGCAGCATTAGAGAGCTAGGACAATGTCTTTTACTAGGAACTCTCATCCCTCCTGGTACCATGTCCAAAGTACATGGGACAGATCTCACCATCCTCACTTCTAAGAAGCATTGTGGCTGTACTTCTTCCAAAACAGATTTGTTTGTTCTTCTGGCAGTTCTTGGAATATTCAGTATTCTTTGCCAACACCATAATTCAAATGTACCAATTCTTTGTTTGATCTTCCTGATTGATTGTGCAGCTTTTGCTTACATATAAGACTATTGGAAATTCTATGGCTTGGGTCAAGTGTAACCTAATGTACTAAATGTTATCTCTGCTTTAATCACTTTAATAAAAGGTATTTTGTTGTAGATTTGTCCAATGCTATATGTTACTTGATTTCTCGATGATACCTTCCATGAGTTCCAAGCAAAAGGGCATCTTGATAACTTCAGTCTTTTCTCTGTTTATCATGATGTTGCTTAGTGGTCCAGTTTTGAGGATTTTTGTTTTATGTTGAGATATAATCCATATGGATGGCTATAATCTTATCTTTATCAGTAAGAGTTTCAATACATAACTATATTAAAATTGGCCAATGGATTTATGGACAGCTAGATTGTTTAGTACCTTGGAGGCCAAGATGGCCAAACTTCATCTCTCATGCTTCGGACATATTGTCAGTTGCTGGAGAAGGATATCATGTTTGGTAAGGTAGAGGGTCAGAGAAAAAAAGGAACACCCCCAACAAGATGGACTGGCCAAGTGGCAGCATCAATGGACTCAAGTGTGGCAACAGTAGTGAGGTTGGCCCAGGATCAGGCAGTGTTTTGTTCTGTTGTGCATAAGGTCGCTGTGAGTTGGTACTGACTTGATGGCACTGAACAACAACAACAACAACAGATTGTTTAAGCATACTCATCTAATTGTTTTCTGAGGATATATTTTGTAAGTCGAATTTCTGGGTAAAATGTGTATAGTTTAAATTTTAATACAGATTGCCAAACTGCACTCCAGAAAGGATGTTCTGATTTAGATAACTATTAACAGGATACAGCAGTGTCTAGTTCCTCTGATTCCCACAACTATTCTTATTATCATTCCTTTTAGACATTAGGAAGAAAAATGGTAACTCTTTGTTGGTTTGATTTGATTACTGATGCACTGTTTGGCCATTTGTACTTCTTATGATTTTTATTTTTTATAAGAATCTTGAATCCATATAAAATTTATTTTGATTGAAGTTGTGTGAAGTCCATTTTCTGCTTCTTTAGGACTATTGGTATATCCTTTTTCATTAGCTCCCTTTGTGTTCTTAAATTCTAGGTATCTGCTGAATTTCTTTCAGTCCTGTTAGGATGATGCTGTACTTAAACTTTTCTGAACTCTTTAACATGTTGGTGTTCTTACTTTTATTTTTTAAAGGAACTTTGTGCTTTAATGTTTTCCCTGGATTGGATTAAAGCAAAAACAGAACTTGTAGGCCCTGCTCATCTGATTCATGAATTTGTAGAATACAGGCACATATTAGATGAAAAGGTATGTATTGATATGAAAAACATGTGTTTAAGGGACATTTTACTTTGGTGTTGAATTCTAGGTATTATTGTAGGTATAAATTAGAATAGAAGGAGTAAAGAAAGATAATTTCCCTACTTTGATCCTTGTTTTTTTCAAAGTATTTTGCTTCTGAGCCTTACTTGTTTTATTTTCTTTTTACCTGTTATTCTGGGGATATGGATGGAATTGAGGTTTGAGAAAATTGTGTTCAGTAGTTTTTAGTGTATTAAGAAAATAACCCATTAACAAAGAGATTTTTGCCTTGTGCCTCCCAAGTCAGAAGATCTATATATAATGTTACCTAAGTGGTTGGTTATTCAAGTTTAGTTCATATAGAACATGTTTCATTTTAGCCTGTAAAGTGACCAGATCACAGAAACGGAAAAATGTCAGATATTGGCGCTAGTTATATTTCTAAGAGATTTCTTTTTGTTCACAGGATTGCACAGTTTGTGAGAATTTTCAGGAGTTTTTATCTTTAAATGGACATCTTCTTGGGCGACAGCCATTTCCTAATATTGTGCAGCTGGGTCTCTGTGAACCAGAAACTTCAGAAGTTTATCAGCAAGCTAAGCTGCAGGCCAAGCAAGAGGCGGATAACGGGATGCTTTACCTGGAGTGGATGTAAGTAGGTTAGGATCTGAGAGACTCTAGGAAACTGAGCACTAACTATGTCATTATTTCCAGTCTAGTGAATAAGTTCACTCCAGGAAGATTTAACTACTTTGAACAGAGCTGTAACTTTTAATAAGCATTCCTACTTACTGAAAAGTTACAAAGAAGTCAGTGTAGTTGAAAATAATTATATTTTCATAGAGTTCTTATAAATGGATGCTTGCCTATAAGATAGTTTGACAAGCTATCCTAAATGTGGTGCTGTGGGCTAATGCGTCAGACTGCAAAGTCGTTTGAACCGCAAGGTTGATGGTTCAAGCTCACTAGCTGCTCCTTGAAAACCCTACACAGGGTCACTATGGGTTGGAATCGACTCGATGACACTTAACAATAACAACATCCTAAATATTAATACCAAATGCTTGGCTTTGTTTTAGTTTAGTAGAGTGGTGCAGAGCATGAGCTTTGGAGTCACACTCCTGTGTTTTCCAGGCTGCTGTAATAAGATGAGGCTTTCTACTCCTGTCAAGATTTACAGCTTGGAAACCCTGTACAGGGTTGCTATGGGTCGGAATTGACTCGACGGCACACAACAACAACAACAACATAATATTTATGAATGCAGATCACCAAGAGTTTTCGACGGTGATGCTGGATGGGTTTGAACTACCAATCTTTAGGTTAATACAAACAAAACAAAACGAAACAAAACCCTGCTTTCAAGTTAATTCCAACTCAGTAACCATATAGGACAGGGTAGAACTGCCCCATAGAATTTTCAAGGTTGTCATCTTTACAGAAGTCTACTGTTATGTCTTTCTCCCTCAGAGTAGCTGGTGAATTTCAACTGCCAGTCCTTTGGGTAGCAGCAAAGTACTGTAACCATTGTGCTGCCAGTGCTAAGGTTTGCACCATCAGACACCTGTTCTTATATTTGAAATAGGGACTACCTCAAAGGCTTGTTTACTCTACTTTTGCGCAGATTTAAGTGAGCTAATGGGTATAAAGTGCTAACACTTCGCCTTCTACATTGTCATTGTTAGTTGCCATTGAGTTGATTCTGACTCAAGACAAATGTGTGCAGGCTAGAACTGCTCCATATGGTTTTCACGGTGGTAACTTTTCAGAAGCAGATCGCAGGCTTGTCTTCTGAGGTGCCTCTCGGTGGGCTCGATCTATCAGTCTTTCAGTTAGCTGTCAAATGCTTAACTGTTGATGCCATCCAGGGATCAAAAAGCAAAACCAGTTATGTGGTCAGTACTTCTCTCTTGCTCTTAGTTTGATCTTATAAATTGCTATAATAAGGAAAACATAAGTTACCATCTTATTAATGTGTTATATTCTCACATATGTTATTCCATTTAATCTTCACAACACCTTGAATAAGGTAGAATTTATTTCTCCTAATTTGTAAATGCCACCACTCATCTGTCAGTTTGTCGTACTGTAGTTGCTTGTGAGTTGCTGTGATTCTGGAAGCTATGCCACCAGTATTTTAAATACCAGCAGGGTCACCTATGGTGGACAGGTTTCAGATGAGCTTCCAGACGAACACAGACTAGGTAGAAAGAGTGATGAACTACTTCTGAATATTTAGTCACTGAAAACCTTATGATCAAGAACCACTGATCTGAAGAAAGAAGTCTACGGTGCATTGAAAGCATTGGCAATGAACAAGGCACGGGGAATTGATGGGAATACAATTTGAAATCTTTCAGCAAACTGATGTGGCACTGAAGGCACTCACTCATCTATGCCAAGAAGTTTGCAGAACAACCACCTGGCCAATTGACTGGAAGAAATCCATTATTTGTGCCCATCCCAAAGAGAAGTGACCCAACAGAATGTGGAAACCATTGGGCAGGATCGTTGCTATTCCATGCTAATAAAATTTTACTAAAGGCAATGTTACGAATTGGGCTGTGAACCTCAAGGTCAGCATTTCTAAACTACCAGCTGCTTTGCGGGAGAAAGATGAGGCTTTCTGCTCCTGTAAAGATTTACAGCCTTGGAAACCCTATTCTGGATCGCTATGGGTCGAAACCGACTCCACGACACTTAACAACAACAATAAAGGCAATCCAAAAAATGACTGCAACCATACATTGACAGAGAACTTCCAGAGTTTCAAGCCAGATTCAGAAGAGGACGTGGAACTAGGGGGATATCATTGTTGACATCTGATGGATCTTGGCTGAAAGCAGAGAATACCAGAAAGGTGCTTGCCTGTGCTTTATTGACTATGCAAAGGCTTTCAATTATGTGAATCAGGACAAGCTATGGACAACATTGCAAAGTATGAGTATTCCAGAACATTTAATTGTGCTCATGAGGAATCTACATAGACAAGAGGCAGTTATTTGAATAGAACAAGGAAACACTGAATGGTTTAAAATTTGCAAAGGTGTGTGCCAGGGTTGTATTCTTTCACCATACTTATTCTACCTGTATATTGAGCAAATAAATAATCTGAGAAGCTAGATTATATAAAGAAAAATGTGGCATCAGGATTGAAGGAAGACACATTATCAGCCTGCGATATGCAGATGATACAACCTTGCTTGCTGAAAGTGAAGATGACTTAAAATACTTACTGATGAATATCAAAGACCACAGCTTTTGATATGGGTTGCATTTCAATTAAAAATAAAACAACCAACATCCTCATCACTGGACCAATAAACAGCATCCATATCAATAGAGAAAAGATGAAAGCTGTCAGACTTCATTTTGCTTAGAGAAACCATCAACATTCAGGGAAGCAGCAGTCAAGAAGTCAAATGACATATAATATTAGGCAAATCTGCTACACAAGACCTCTTTAAAGTCTTGAAGAACAAAGATGTCAGTTTGGGGACTCAGATGTGCCTGACACAAGCCATGGTATTTTCAGTAACCTCATATGCATGTGAAAGTTGGACAGTTGAATAAGGACGACTGTGGAAGAATTGATGAATTTGAGTTAGGGTGTTGGAGGAGGATATTGAAATCACCATGGACTTCCAAAAGAACAAACAGATCTGTGTTGGTGGAAGTACAGCCAGAGTGCTCCTTGGAAACCAGGAAGGCCAGACTTCATATCTCTTACTTGGACACATTGTCAGGAGGGACCAGTCCCCTGGAGAAGGAGATCATGTTTGGTAAAGTGGAGGGTGAGAGAAAAAGAGGAAGACCCACAACAAGATGAATTGGCATGGTGGCAGCAGCAGTGGACTCAGGCATAGTAACGATTGTGAGGTTGGCCCAGAACCAGGCAGTGTTTCGTTCTGTTGTGCATAGGGTCGCTATGAGTCAGTACCGACTCGATGGCACCTAATAACAACAGTTTTGGACATGTTATCAGTAGGGTCCATTCCTTGGAAATGTTGTTGTTAAGGCCGTCGAGTCAGTTCTGACCCATAACGACCCTGAACAGGGTTTCCGAGGCTCTAAATCTTTACGGGAGCAGAAAGCCTCATCTTTCTCCCGTGGAGCAGCTGGTAGTTTCGAACTGCTGACCTTGCGGTTCACAGCCCAATTCGTAACCACTACGCTACCAGAGCTCCTTGGAACTAAATAGGACATCATTATTCGGAGAGGGTCAGCATAAAACAGGAAGAATCTCAATGATTAGGATTGACACAGTGCATGCAACTGTGGACTCAAACATAGCGACGATTGTGAGGATGCCTCAGGACCAGACTATTCTTTTCTGTTGTACGTAGTCTGGCTTTATCTTGTAACTGACTTGACAACACCTAAAAACAGTAACAACATAAATGAGAAAACTTGACATGTGGCTTGCTGAATGGGATTCAAATCCAGGGTCTGTCTGACTTTATTTTCTGTGCTGTTTCTGTATACCATCTCGATCTCTCTCTCTTTATAATTTTGAACATTTTATTTTGGTTTGGGTGAAAATTTACAGAGCAAAGTTTTCCATTAAACAATTCATACACATTTTGTTTTGTGACATTCAGTGCAATCCCTAGATTGTAAGGCCACTCTTCTTTTTATCTCCCTGTGTTTACTGTTTCCATTTGTCCTTTTTCCTGGCTCTTCCTGCCTTCTGAGCTGTATAGTTCTAGGCAAATGCTGTCCTTTTGATCTAGTATGGTTGACTGTTTCTAATGTTTCTAAGGAGTGTGTACCTGCCTGGTAGTGAAGTTTACCTTTTAGGCCTGTTTATTGTTTGGCTGAAAGTTGAGTCATGGGGCAATCCCATTTCATTTTTCTGCAAATAGATATCCAGTTTTACTTAGTGCCATTTGTTATAGAAACCATCTTTCCCTATTAATGGATTTTGGCCCTTAGTCAAAGATCAGCTGCTCATAGGTGGAGTCATATGTCTCTTATAATTTGAAATTAGAAGTACCAATGTCAGTTTTTTTCACCTGGATAGCATGTCTAAATTGACACTAAGTTAGTATTTATGATCTTTGTGACCCTGGGCCCTCTTTTAAAATAAGGTTGTTGCCTTAGGCTGGGTTTTCAGGAGAAGCAAAACCAATGAAACATGTACATGTATGTATATAAAGAGAAGTATATTATCAAGGACATGAGTTACAATTGCAGAGTCCCAGGTCCCCAGTGAAAGAGTGAGAGAAAGCCTTTTTCACGTGTCCATTATATTGGGGACAGGCCACACTCCCAACTAAGGATCTCTTGAATTGATTGGCTGCTATAGCCACTCTTCATAGAATTAACT